GGAATTAGCACAGGTAGTCCTGGACTTACGACCACAATTGAGCCCAAAATTTCCGTGGTTAAGCAAGGCAGTTGTTAAGTGAGTTTTGCCCCCTTTTTACAACCTTTCTTGCCACAGTTGTTAAGGGAAGGCCTGCGGTTGTGACATTAGTAACACGGTTGTTAAGTGAATCCAGGTTCCCCCTTGACTTGGCTGGTCAGAAGGTCACAAAAGGGGATCACGTGATCCTGGGACACTGCAACCATCACAAGTACATGCCAGTTGCCGAGCCTCTGGATTTTGATCACGTGACCACAGGGATGCTGCCACGGTCGTAAGTGTGAAAATGGTCCTAAGTCACTTTACTTAGTGCCATTGTAACTTCAAACGGTCACTAAACGAATGAATTGCAGCATCCCCGGGGTCAAGTGATCCAAATTTGGGCGCTTGGCAACTAACATGTATTTATGATGACGGTTGCACTGTCCTGCGATCATGTGATTCCCTTTTGCGACCGTCTCATATTTATGACGGTTGCAGCGTCCCTCAGGGTCACGTGACCCCCTTTTGCAACCTTCTGACAAGCGAGGTCAACGGGGGAAAAAGCCAGTTTCACTTCCCAAACTGTGTGACTAATTTAACAACTGCAGTATTTCACTTAGCAACGGTGGCAGGAAAGGTCGTAAAAACGGGGCAAAACTCACTTAACAAGGGTTTCACTTAACGACATAAATTTTGGGCTCAGTTGTGGCCGTAAGGCAAGGGCTATCTCCACATCTCTGCGGAAAGACAGCAGAGCAATGTTATCCAATGGATGATACATTAGCTTGGAACGTGCTCCACCAGGGCTTGAAAATTATAATATAAATGTGCTGAAGGCATGAGGTGTTTTTGCGCTGGCCATGAAAAAGAGCTGATGAAAGGACGCTCCTTAAGCCCTCGGTAATTTCACAGATTTTGTGATCAGTCCATGATCCCCTAATGAGAGAGTTACCTAATCCAACTCTAAAGAGATTACAACAACGATCAAGGTCTCGACAAAGAGGCCCCATCCACAGAAGTGTCTCCAGGGGCTTATTAGATCACAATATATCAGTTGGCAAGTCACAATACGGTGCCGGAGTTTAGGCAATGGGTCTCTTAAGCGTGAATCTGATCACGTCTCCATCTTTTGACAAGGCAAAGTTGGCTTGCTTCCACGTTCCTGAAGACTATCCAGATATTTCATGTCATCCTCTGAAGACAGGGAGGCCTATCTTAATGTGATACACCTCCCCATTAAAATGGAGAGCTAGCATCCTGGAGTAACGTTGAGTCGATCCCCCTGGTTTCAGTCCCTTTCTCCTACTTGTGGGATCGACTGGGAATGAGCATCAGGCCCAGATTAGCTGAAAAAACTCAAACAAACAAATAAATAAACAGAGAGCAAAATCTACTCCGTGCCAGCACTGATGATGTTGTGTAGTTGGGTCATGAAATGTCTGCAAGAAAATAACCAAGATTAGAGATCACCAAGGACCCCACAGTCCTCCTCCTCCTCCTCCTCCTCCTCCTCCTCACACACCCCTCCTTTCTAACACTGATGAAGTTACTTAGTTAGGTTATGAAATGTCTGTAACTAAACAAGTAAGTTCAGAGAGCACCAAGGACACCACAGTCCTCCTCTTCCTCCTCCTCCTCCCTGCCAACCTTACTCCCTGCCAACCCTACTCCCTCTAACACTGAAGATGTTACCTAGTCAGGTTATGAAAGATCTGCAAGGAAACAACGAAGTTCAGAGAACGTCAAGGACCTCACAGTGCTCTTCCTCCTTCTCCTTCTCCTCCTCCTCTTCCCCCTCCTTCCCCCCTGCCAACCCCACTTCCTTCTCACACAGATGATGTTACCTAGTTAGGTTATGAAACATCTGCAAGAAAACCACCAAGCTCAGCGAGCACCCAGGACCCCACCGTTAAACCCTGAGCTACAAAGATTCTCTTCTGTTGAAACAAGAGCATTTCCTGCAAAGTTCCTGTCTTCTTAGCATAGGCTAGAAGAAAGAAATGTTGAATTTGTGGTCCATCTAAGCTGCTTGTGTCAAGTCTTGCGGCACTATCAGCTTTGTTGATCCTGGTGGACATCAAAAGACACCTTTGTTCAACAGGGAAAGGTTTAAAACTCCTCATGATGATGGAAACAGTAAAAAGCTGAATTATCTTCAGGGGTGTTGCCCTGCCCGGGGACATCTGATAGGGGGGTCAAGAAAGGTCAAGATGGGGACTGCAACTGCACGATCAAAGATCTGACCGTTTTTTTTAACCTGCGTTGTACATGTGATACCTGTGAAAAGGAGGCATGGCTTTGATTGAGCTTCTTTTTGGGGGCGATTGGGAAGGAATTCTGGGTGGTTTCCTTCAATTCTCTGTTTTGATCCCCTTTTTCTAGATGCCATCTGGGCCTTCGGTGGAAACCAACTCTTTGTAGTGGGTTCCAATGGGACGGCTGGCATCTTTGCCACCTATCCATCAGAACACTTGAATTCCGTCAATGGATTTTTTGACCAGGTAAGACACAAATGTCCAGACTCAACACAATCATATTTGGGGTATATTAAGCAAAACCTAGTTTATGAAAAGAAAAACTAGGGATGATATGATAGCAGTGTTGCAATATTTGAGGGGCTGCCCTAAAGAACAGAACAGAACAGAACAGAATAGAATATGGAATGGGAATAGAATAGAATACAAAATATGGAATAGAATAGAATAGAGTTGGAAGGGGCCTTGGAGGTCTTCTAGTCCAGCCCCCTGCTCGAGCAGGAGAACCTATACCATTTCAGACAAATGACTGTCTAGTCTCTTCTTAAAAATTGCCAGTGATGGAGCACCCACGATTTCTGAAGGCAAGCTGTTCCACTGGTTAATTATCCTCACTGTTAGGAAGTTTCTCCTTAATTCCAGGTTGCTTCTCTCTTTGGTCAGTTTCCAACCGTTGTTTCTTGTCTTGCCCTCTGGTAAAGAAGAAGAAGAAGAAGAGGAGGGTCAACCTCTTCTCCAAAACTCCTGAAGGCAGGACAAGAAGCAACGGATGGAAACTAATCAAGGAGAGAACCAACCTAGAATTAAGAAGAAATTTTGTAACAGTGAGAACAATTAATCAGTGGAACGGCTTTCCTTCAGACGTTCTAGGTGCTCCAACACTGGAGGTTTTTCAGATTGGACATCCTTTGTCTGAAACGGTATAGGGTTTCCTGCCCGAGCATCGGGTTGGACTAGAAGACCTCCAAGGTCCCTTCCACCTCTGTTATTCTGTTAAGCCTCAGTCTCTTGAGATGACTGTAATGTTGAGACAGGTAGAAGAGAAGAAGACCACAAACAGCATCATGGTGGATGGATGGTGATAGAGGGGACACCTGAAGGGCAGGTTGGGGACAGATCGTTCTTGAGAAGGTCTAACTGTGTGTTATAAGGTCTCCTGTCTTGGGCAGTAGGTTGGACTAGAAGACCTCCAAGGCCCCTTCCATTTTGGGTCATTGTCAAGACACTCAAGATTTATCAAAGCGACTTCCTATTTCTTTGAGGAACACATGTTTTAATCTCCTTCTTTCTACCCTTCTTCCTTCTTAGTTCATTGGCACTGCAGCACTGATAGTGTGTGTGCTGGCCATTGTGGATCCTCACAACAACCCTGTGCCGAGAGGCTTGGAGGCCTTCACAGTTGGCTTCGTCATCTTGGTTATTGGGACGTCCATGGGCTTCAATTCTGGTTACGCCGTCAACCCAGCTCGAGATTTTGGGCCCCGCCTCTTCACCGCCATTGCTGGCTGGGGCACCGAAGTTTTCACGTAAGTAGCCTTCGTGTCTGGTCTATTGACTGAACTTTGAGCAGGGTGTTCGACTAGAAGACCTACAAGATCCCTTTCAACTCTTCTGTTCTTCTATTTTTCACTAAAACCTATGAAAAACGGTTGCAGGATTTGGGTTTGGCTAGTCCAGGGACAGGTAACCTTGGCTCTTTTATGACTCGTGGACTTCAACTCCCAGAATTCCTGAGCCAGCATGGCTCAGCTTGGAAACCTCTCCCTTTCCCCTCAGCATGGCTGGCTCAG